ACTGAATAATTTTGGTATTACTGCGTTGTCTGCCTATCTATTTATTAGCCCTATAAACTTGTGTTTTCCAGAAAATATTGGAATTATAGACACGTTCAAGAATAATATATATGACAGTTTTTGTTGGTCAAGAGTAGTTTTGACCGGAAGGAGTTTTAATTGCAATTTAAACACGAAGTCAATATTTGCTTTTCCTTATTTCTTAATTTTCGTCGCTTACGTTAGTTAGCATCCATAGCACATTGAACTTCGAATATTACCTATACTGCTTCAGTACGTGATTTACGATCCTAACGCTGTATTAAGTAATGAATTTTATTCTCATTTAATGTAACATTCCACAATATCTAATGTTTGTAAAAATAGTAACAATGACTCTGATCTCTAACTTAACAGTAAGATTATATTTAACAACGTATCCAAAACATAACAAGCTACTTAAATACTATCTAAGCTAAATAAAGAAATCCTGCTGTTCCTTTAATCCAACGTATAAATAATCCACCTACTGTCAAAGGTCTGTTCTATAGAAGGACTAATGTTTGTGCACTGGCCAGCGTTTCCAGATCAGATTTTCAAAAATACTGTGTTGTCCACATTAAATAACGGTGTTTGAGAGAAAAATACTATTATAAATATACACAATATAGGTGTATTTTACAGTGTAATTAAATGACGTATTAAAATGAAATCATTTTTATGAAGCAAAACATGCATTTATTTTAAATATAATATACTCAAACTAACTAAATATCTTTTTAATATATTTTAATGCACAAAATAGTTCTAGGTATCACTGTCACTATCGTTGGCCTCCCCTTTTTTGTAAATTTCTGAGTTAAAAGATTTTAACATCTTGTCAGTTGGCAGAAAATTTACACAGTTGCTCTTACTAATACTCTTTTGTGTTGGTCGGCGGACGCATTCGTCACATTCATAATTTATGATATTTTCCATATTGAAAAATATACTGTGTCTCCATACACTGTATTTATAAAAATACGGTATCCAGTAGACGGCGCGAAAATACGGTAGATCTAGTGTAATTACAGTGTATCTGGCAACGTTGGCTCTGGCTGAGTTCTAACAAAGGATCTACGCCACAGTTACGACTCAGTCGTCACCGACTACCGAAGCAGACGTTCACTGTTTGATAATCTGCCAACCTTTATGTCCGTTACCTTAAAATCTTCCAACACGGTACTATTTCAATAAGATGATGGCAACGTTAATGCATATTGTGAAAAAGTACATAATAGATGTCAATTTTCAGACTTGAACTCTAGAAAACTTTATTAGTAAAACTATTATTTACGGATTTTATCGCGTTTAATTACTTTAATTTATTTTTATTATTATCCCGACGTTTCGGGTGCTTTACAGCGCCCATGGTCACGGGGGGGACTGAGATGAAACATCTAGTCCCCCTTGCATTGGGACGTCAAAACGTCCCAATGTCATAGTTAGTCCGGCTACCTTCAGTTTTTTAATATTAATTTTTGGTCCGATTTACGCAAAACGAGCTTATAGTATCATGAAGTCTTGCAGTGGTATGCTTGGGTTTGGGTTTAATTTTGTTAATTATAGGATCCCAAGCAGATGGTAGCACCCAACCATCTTCTCTATTGAAATTTGGATGTTTTTTAATTTCAATAGCTTCGCGTATCATCCTTGGTAGGAATCGGTGTTCTTTTGCGAGAATTTGTGGTTTATCAAATCTAATGTAATGGTGGGGACGATCGAAACTTTATTAGCTTTATTCATGAATTTAGGGGTTCTATGTGTTCACGGGGAGGGATTACCTATTAGATGTGCAAATAATTTTTGAGTTACGGGAGGTCTGGAAATAGGTCGAAATGGTTCGTGACTGCAAGTGCGTCGCTCTATACTTTTCTTAATTGATAAAAGTAAAGCACTGTCTGTCTGTCTGAACATACATCACACAAAAACCACAGAATGGATTTCAATAGAAATTTCACTATAGTGACGTATACGTCGAACTACCTACATAATATTTTTTTCCCATCCAGCGTGATGACAGATTATAACAAATTTTATGTTTACGATATATAGGTCTTTATTAATGCTGCTGATCTTTATACTAATCATAGCCGACTTAAATTATACACCAATGTTATCTTTATTATGTATTTCTTAAAATTTACTAACCGTTGAAACGTGATATAGATTAGTTTTTAGAATAGTGCCTATCTGTTAAATATACCACTATACTTTGGAAGAATTTGACGAACGATTTTCATTTTATTTATTTCCAATTTAAAAATAGTTTTCATTTGTATCTTTGATCACGCTAATGTTGCTTCTCAAACACCTGAAACTTAAAAATAAAATATAAAGTATATATATATATATATATATATATATATATATATATATATATATATATATATATATATATATATATATATATATATATAAATCAATTGCTCTCTCGCAAAAACTCGAAAATGCCTCGACCGAATTAGATGATTTTTTGTGTATTTGAGTGGATTCCTGGATGGTTTAAAAACTCGACTGGACCAGTAGGTGGCGCTGTTGTCGATAATCACCTGTTCGAAGTCGAAGCGGATCGCTAGTACAGTATAAATACGAAAGAACATCATTCGAGGTGACACCTGTCTCAACTGTGGCAACTATGGCAAATATGAAAGAATCTATGGGGGAGGTCTATGTTCAGCAGGAATTTTCGATAGGCTATAGCGGTAGTGGTATCTTCCAGACTACCTAAACAATCAATATATTAATAAAACTACAATTACTATATTTATAAAAGATGTTTGTTTATTAAATAAATATTTCGTAATTACCTCCAACTTCAATTATACAGCCAATTTAACTATGACATACTTTTCATTTTTAATATTTTCCGGTTTCGACAGGTGCTCTCCATTAAATTCTCCCTATAAACTACCTCCAGTCATCCCGTCACACCCTTTCCCCTTGTTCACGCTCGAATGCCCGTCGGCCAGAGCTCGCTCAAATTAAGTAGGTACTTACTTCCTTTTATTCAGAATCATTTTAATTTACGTAAATTCAGTGAAAATAGAATAGAAATAGAAGAATAATAATTATTGGAACCATAATATTAGTTATTTTTTTGATATTTGCTAAGAAACATTATTATTTTCGAACGTTACCTATTTATAAGTAACTATTGTAGCGATGTTGCGATAGTGGATTTTATTAATGTAACTAATTTTTATTTGGTAAAAAAAAACAGACGAGACAAATCCAACCTTAATAGTAGTCTCATTTTTCTGAAATAAATAACCTTTAAATCTTTATAATGATATCGAATAAATTATATGAACGTGGTAAATAAAGATATTGGGTTAACGGGACGTTCACTTTATTCTACAAGCATTATTCATTTTCCTAATCGAGACGATCATTAAAGGCTTTCTTTAAGCCAGTGCTTTACATAGGCCTCTCCAAATTAATGCAACAAAACACCATTGAAATGATTTCTAAATATCATTATTTTTATTAACCATCCGTTTCGATTTAAACTACTACGGCGTATCCTCCATGAACCCTCCCACTCGGAAGACGAGTTTTTCCTGGCATTTCGCATCGTTGCCTCTTGCGACACCCACGCCACGAAAAGGAATAATGAATTCTTTTTCGCCGCCACTGCAAACGAATTTTACGAAATTTTAAACGAAATAACAGTTTTAGCTTAACAAATGAATTTTACGAAATTTTAAACGAAATAACAATTTTAGCTTAACAAACGAATTTTACGAAATTTTAAACGAAATAACAATTTTAGGTTAACAAACGAATTTTAACTTCTTATCGTTTTAGTTTAGTTTTTATTTTTTAAAATAATATTTTCTTTAGTTCCTTTTTCGTAATTTCTTACTGCAAATCTTAAGTTTCCGTTTTCAAAGGAACCCTCGGTGTCTTGCACTTAATCGGTTTTTATGAAGAAACTAGCTTTTCGCTCGGTTCGCTTACTTGTATAATACTCGAAATCGAGAACTATATACCCTGAAAAGTTATATATACCATATATACATATACCATATACATATATATAACATAAAAGGATAACTAATTTCTTATCCGAATTATCCATAATTTCTTATCAGAAATGTCCATACACCTTATAAGACTTACACACAAATATTATGCTTATCACATACACGCACACCCTCACACACATACACTTACCCTCACACACATACCCGCACTTACACAACCTTTCTGCACAGTGCACAGATTTAACGTTCATTGTTTATACGTCATAAAAGGCAGTTTCTGTAGAAATTTCAGATTTATACATCTAGCGGTTTGGGATGTGCCTTGATAGATAAGTCGGTCATATTGGACATCTTTTATATAAATAGATTAAGCCTTCCAAGTATGAACATATTTTTAACTATTACTATTTAAGTTTAAGCAATGATGTAGCCGTAAAAAAAAATTAGGCCAAAAGTACTAAACCATTTAAATATACTTAAGCGACGTGAATGTGACATAGCACTGGGATAGCTCGACAAACTAACTGCTCTATAATTATGTCGAAAATGAAATGGGAAATGTAGCTCTATAAAGCTAGCAGTGAAAAGTCAGCGAAATTTGTAAGACAGTTTATCTAAAATTCGCTGCTGCACATAGGCCTTCCGCATCGATTGCATGCCGATTACTAGTGCAGTTTACTATTCTTAGCAATTTTTGTGTAATGATTTACATGTGGTAGAGCCATGCTGCAGATATATTATGATCGATCTCACGCTATCCCACCGTATTAGCGACAACCAGCAGCTTAATGCTGTTGTGTTTCGTATAGTGAGTGTAGAGAACCAGAAGAATCTTTTTACTAGAAACGAGGCATTCCATCGTAGTTCTCGGGTTGATATATTTTGATCTTTAATCGAAGACGTATGTAGATGGCATAGCATTCGCTTACCATCGGGTGGACTGTGTTAACTTTTCATTTTTCAAAACTTTCATTTAAGTTTTGCCTTTGACAGGTCTGTGGAACTTCGATATCAATATGACACGGAATATGAAGGCATACCAGCGTTAAGATTCGCCGCCAATGAATGGCTGTTGAATAACGAAGACGGGTGTTTCTGCCTTAACGTGACCACTGGTATTACCAAAGAGGATGGGTGCTTGTTGGAAGGCGCATCCGAACTCTATAGTTGTGTTGGTGAGTACTTAAGAACTTTCCAAAAGTAATATGACACAAAAGTTTTGACTTATTTCTCTATATTATACATTAACTTACGTTGTTGTCATATTATTTTAAAATGTTTTTTATAACTCATATTAAATTGCTAAATAATAATCAATTTCAAACATATAACTCATTACCATTTTAAAAACTCACCCACAACAACAACACAGGCGGTTCCTAGAATAAACTTATTTGCAATTTACAAAAAATCAAATAACATTGTAATTCTCAAGTTGTAAGTAAATTTGCATTCGCTGTTCCACGAAAACTAACTTAATATCAGGTGCGTTTACAATATTATGGCCGTACCCTTGAAAGTAAATATGTCAAGGTCCTACGTATGTATGTACCTATTATGTTTTATCTTGGTAATACACGGAAGGAAGAATCTGCGTAAACTCACTTTTATAAACTGAGTAGCTACAAAGTATTTCAATCACAGAAATCGTAATAGTAAGATAAGTCGCATAGACGCGTAACCTCGTCGCCGCTATTATGTGTTGACTAACATCATTCAACTTTTTGTGATTTAGTTGCGTGGGGAACGTCGTACGTGAATTTATGTTATTATAAATTTATAATGGTGAACTGCAGCATAATCAGTTGTAAAAACTTATCAAGGACGTGTAATTCAACTAATAAACGCATAACATTTCATTGGTAAGTTGATTATTTACTAATTATCATTGTTTTGACTAATTTACATCTAGATGAATACTTTACTATGATATTTACCTTTGTAAACTTTCATTTATTACTTATAGTATTGTACAATTACTATTGCTGCTTTTGTTCTACCGTAATACACGACGCACGTGACTCCGACAAACTCGCCAAGCAATATAATGTAAACATTAGATATCATTGTGCATTGCGTATGTTAATAATACGGAAAGATGTGGCGACATCGGTTTTGGAAGTAATCGAGCGCTGATTAATTTCTATTGTCTTATTATTACTATTTCTGTGATTTCAATGTACGTATGTGTGGTGGCGGTGTAAGGATATCCACTACCCCATATCGTCCTATGAGTGTCGTAAGAGGCGACAAAGGGCGTACTGACCCAAAAGATGGACAGCAACATCTTCCTGATACTAGTTGAATTAAAAAAAAACTGCGGTTGCCAACCCGCTTGCTAAGCTTGTCAACTATATCAAATATCTTCCTTATGAGGCAATCTATCAGGCAGGACTTTGTTGAGCAGTGAAAATTCGTAGACTGTAATTAATGGCTGTGCAAAAGAAATAAAATAAATAATTAAAAAATCAAAACCTCCAACTGCAAAAAAGACAATTTAAAAGAAATGCACTAAAAAGACCGAAACAAGATTGAGTAAAGAAAACAAAATTTAAAAAAAAACTATAAACAAAGTAAACTGCTAAGTAAAATAGCCCAAGTGAAATATTAAGTATAGTAGCAGGCGGAACCCATTATTTTTCTTTCGGTTTATAATTTGTAATCGGGTCCCTACTGCTACTAAACTTAATATTTCACTTAGGCTATTTTACTTAGGCTTACCCTGTGGCTTTGATCTACTAGCTGTGACTATATATTCAATTTTTACCATAACGCTAATTCACAATGTGCAATAGCGAAATGGCAACTATTATATATTTTTACGTAAAGTTGTTGCATTCATGTATATGTACGTAATGTAAACAATATAATTTTTTTGGCTCTCTGTAATGCTGATGTCTCGTATTTTTCCTGTGCTCGCATCTTTATAATACAATGATCCTGTATGCAATTTTGTGGATAATGCGTTTTTGTGGTAAATATTGTATTGGTAATCTATTTTCCTTAACAAGTAAATAAAAAATGTTATAGCAATATTTTAGAATCATTCATTTGCAATTTTGCTCGTTAAGAATTTCAGAGATAGAGAATATCAACACACATCTACATATTACGTTGAACGTAGTTATGTGTAGGCTCAGAAAAAGTAGTGTGGCTTGAAAATGTGAAATTTCAAAAGTTATAAAGTTTTAAATGATGTTAGTTACCGGCATTTAAACAATCCAAGCAACAAATTTAAAATGCGAACGAAGCCGCGGGCAACCTTTGTTTTAAATAAATTATTGGCAGCGACAAAGCAAAAACTTTATTTTTTTAATACTAGTAATCCTATTAATTAACATTACTAACATTCCTTTTAACCACTCCTAATAAGATGAAAATACTAAAAATAATTGTGTTAGAAGTGGTTGTGGTAGTCGAATGTCGGATTGGAAACCGCGACCTTTTGAGTTCGCGATCCGCGCCCCGCCATTAGGCTACCGTCGCTTGAACTTTGTTTCTTATAAAAGATCTAAATTTTTTTTACTCAAGACACTGTGCGGTAAATATTTATCGTTCTACACAGTGACGTAAGCGACATAAGTGATGGCCACGCTCAATGAAAGAGTAGGGTATGACACCATGATTTATACGATCACGTTTATCTTAAGCAAAGGTTAATTTTAAATTCAAATTCAAAAAAGACTGATCTGTGTGTAACGGCGAACCTCTTGACCCGCTGAGGAAATCAAGCGTATAGTGTTTACTCACTAATCGGTTAAGCCGGTTAGGATACACCTGTTAGCGAAATCGTGTGATTAAATGTATCATAAAATTAAAACAATTCATGAATAACTTATATATATAGTTGTGTTCGTAATATAATTTACCTTGGAAAATTATACAGTTGAGGAAATTATTTTTCTTTGAGCTCCCGCCGAAAAAAAATACTTTTTAAGAATTTTAAGAACACTCGAGATGTCGGCATTATCTTACTTTATGTGCTGCGGCGTTTGTAATAACTTTTGCGGTTTAAAAATATAAATATAAAATTTTAAAAAAGCACGCACAAGCGTAGTGTTGTGATGATGTATTCACAGTTCACATCAAGGCGAACCGCTTTAATCCGGCCATCGCCTGTCGATCTTCAGTCGCAGTTGCAGTCGCCCATTACCATTTATTATTCCGCTCTAATCATAGTCAGTGAAAAGAAAGAATTTTATCTGTGTACAAAAATTCTCGGCAGCTTAACCCCTTATAATAATTACTACCGATAAATACGGGTGTGACATAGATAGTGCGCGGGCGCGCGGCGGGACGAAGCGGTAAAAAAGCGTGCGCGCGTCTCCAAAGCGCAAACGTACGACACAATGTACAGTCTCGCGTTGTTGATGAGTACGCTTCTAGCACTCGCCGGTGCGCGTATTTACGAGCGATGCGAACTTGCGCGCGACTTAATTAAGCTTGGAATCCGCGGAGAGCACATCGCCACCTGGGTCTGCATTGCCTACCACGAGTCCCGGTTTGACACCGCCGCTCGCAATGGGTACAGTGGAGACCATGGACTCCTACAAATTAGCGAAATATATTGGTGCGGTCCCGGCAAAGCGTGTGGACTACCTTGTTCAGCTTTACGCGATGATGATATTTCAAACGACGTGGAATGCGCACTAACAATTTACGAAGAACATACACGTCTTCAAGGAGACGGGTTCCTCGCTTGGGTAGTATACCCACAACATTGCAGGCATAATGCAAAAAAATATCTTGCCGATTGTGACATTTCTGTGAAAGATTTAAATTATAATGTGGAAGGCAGATCACGTTCTTGGCATAAACACGATTTTTATCCCACAGTCAACGTTACTTTATCAAATGCAGTGCAAAGTGTAGCAGTTCCTCAAAGTGAAAAATCATTTCCAACGTATCTATCTATTATTTCTATGTTGCGTCGAAAGTTTGAGCAAGATTTTGAAGAAGACTATTATCACAAGCAGAATGTGAACTGGTCCCAATTTAAAATTGGTAATGTAGATAAATTGAAGCTTCCTAATTTCAACCTTAAGCCTAATTATGATTTCCTTCAACCAGTCGCCACCCAAATTACTACAACATCTACTACAACCATGCAGCCGGAACCGCAATATAAACCAGTCAAGCCATGGAGAACGATCGAGACGAATCAGTTTAGGAGAAGAATGATGCCTTTTAATAAAAAATCATCAGAAGAATATATAAATAGAAAAAACTATCTAAATACGTTCCAAAGCACAACACCGCTGCCTTCAACAATACTTGCAATTTCAACTACCCAAAATAGTTCGGTATACAACCCTCCGAATGTGAAAAAGACAATACAAAACACTCAACACAAAATTAATAATATGAGTTACTTTACTGTTTCTCCAGTGTTAAACCCTTCTTTCCCAATTCAAGTTTCATTACCAGTTACGACATTTTCACCTTTGGTAACAAGGAAGCTGTCAAATAGTAGTGATATGAGCTTGACACAAGAAACACCCAAAAAGATTCCGTCAATCAAAGAAACAACAAAATATATAATGAAAAGTACTTGGGAGACATACAGTCCATGGACAACGCCATTGTCGATTTCAAAAGAAATATCAACGACGCAGAAATCTGTTCAAAACTGGACTACTAAACGGCTAAATATTGATAAAACCAAAACAACAGTAAAGCAACAGCAACAGTTCAGCACACCTAGCTTTTCAAAGACTTTAACAACTCGACCATTAGCTACGGCAAAAGGATATAGTAAAGAAAATAAAGAATCAAGCAAAATCACTGCGTTATCTATACAGGAGATGAGCACCACAGTGAAGCCAAAAGCGTTGTCAGTTAATGGTGCATTAAATAATAAAAATAGTAGCCAAAGTAAATCTGCGAATGACGAACATAGCACACGAAGGTCACAGGTATCGGCCTGGAGACGCGGCAAATCCTGGTCAAATGATTACGATAATGTGACATACTTCGATAGAAATGTTACATTTAAGCCGGTTTTGACGTCAACATCGACGATTTCCCCATATCGTAGACCCGGAAAATATGAAAATTCAAGAGACATAACATTCCTCACCAATCATACGACTAAAAGCGGTAGCGCCCAGTCTCCTTTGAAATTTACAAAAGCCAATGAGGGAAATGATAAACAAACAGTAAAAGTGACTGGTCTTATAACACAAGCAACACCAAGAACGACGTTCTCAATTTTTGATCTTTATTTGAACCCCACCCAACGTCCTCAACTGCCAACTTACAAATTTGCGTTTACTAGTAACAATGTAAGTAAGTTTAAAATATTTTCGGATGGAACCACTTCAACTCCGCCCTTAAATAATTATTCTAAAACATCCAATAAGACATCTACGAGAGGGCAAAGTTAAATTAATGTAGATACGTCATGGCAGTTGCCCAAAAATAATCATAAAATAAATTACCAAAATAAGGGAATATTTATTTTGTAAATACTAAATATATATGACCGGAAATGTACATTTTGTCCTACTGTACTTAGTGTTAGAGCAAAATCATTTATCATTGTTGACTGTTGTAAAATCATAATTAATGTGATTAAATATACTCAGTTTTTTTTCTATTACTTGTATATTTTTATATAATATAGAATTGCTCTGCGTTTTGTAAAACCGCTCAATATGCGAATTTTTCAAATCATTTATTTTGAACCCTTCTTATTATAATTTTTACTTTTTAATTTATTTTATTATTATAATAAAAATATACCCCTAATAGAAATTTCTCTTTTATCGGTTTTCATACTCGTACATAAATTGTACTAAATGCGTAAATATGCAGCTCCAGAACAATTTGTAGATCATACAAACTACAACATTTTAATTAAGTTCCGTGCAAGATTCGAACCCACGGCTTCACAGCGTTGCAACTTGCAACCAAACGCTTAGGCACTGTGCTATCGAGTCGTCAAAAGAATAATAAGAGATTAATAAAAATCTTTCAAAGGTTGTTGTTATGAACTACTGGATTCTCTTCATATGAAATTATTTTATTCGTCAAGAAAAATATATAAACAATATTAATTTTAATACTTATTTATTTTAAAAGAATATTCGCGGTGCAACCATGTATAGCTGTGCTTTGTCAAAAGTTGAAAACGTTATATGTTTTAGTTTTAAAAAAAGCTTTCGTTCGTTTTTCAGTACTTATTATATCAGGAGGGGAATGAAACTTATTCAGCGTGTACTGTGTCAGAGATATGTATAGAATAAAAATCATGTGTGCGAATATATATTGATGTTAAAATGGGTATAATTTTAAATGAACAAACATGCATGATTTTTACTAATTAAGTGGAATTTGACCCAACGCAATTAGTGTTGCCCAAATACAGTGTAACAAGATGAGACTTAACAAGTCTTGGTCTTGGTCTTGTAACAAGAGTCTCGCAAGTCTCGTAATTAACTATTAGCCTATTAATATTTGTTAAACGTTACTTTAGATCTTAGAACAACTTAACAGAGTAGGTACATTTTGATCTTGAATTAACATTTAATTAATAAACGTTAATTCAAGCTCAAATTAATAAATATCTAAACATTTAATGAGAAATTCAAAAATCAACTGACACCGGGTGGCGTTTGAACCCACGACCTAAGCGATCCATACCGATTGTCTAACCAACTGAGCTATCTACCGTATCCCACGGCCACGGGAGTCAGTCTGTTTCTTGTGATGTGAATTGTGTATATTATGTTCTTCTTCTGATGGAATTAATCTACGTTAATTAAATTTACCTAGGTACGTTACTTGTATTTATCTAGGTACTTACTAACTACTAAAGTACGATAGAAATTAGAGTAATCAAGGAGTATTGGATTTTTAAACACAAAATGGGTGAATATGACTTCACTCATTCGAAATTCAATGTTCAATTATTTTTAATTCAAGTATGCATTAAAATACACTTTTGAATAGTCATATAATAACAGTTTTCTCCATTATTTTCTTTTCCGTGTTTAGGGGTGCTGCTCTACTGAGAAGAATCATGAAAGTAAGAAACTCAGTAGTTGCTCTTCTCACAATATTTTTACAATAGTGGGTACTATAATTATGTAAAGCGATAAATTAAATATAATATGTCTGATGTAGATAGTATATACTAAATCGGTATAGAAATTTCTAGTTAGTCCTGCGTATAACTAGAGGTCAGTTCCAAGCGATCGGAAAGCTCGTAATGTGATTTTATTTTTAGTTCTACAATTAAAATCTCTATTCTTTACATGTAAGTAAATGTTTTGTTGTACACACATGATATTTTCAAAAATATATTGTGATGCAACAATCGAGATATCAATTTCATTAAACAGTTCTCTCTGAGATACTCGGGCTCCTAAGCAGTACATAGATCTTATTGCACGCTTTTATTTTATATGCATGCTTTTTATATTATCCGATTAGCATTGTAGAACATTTTTACATGTTTCATTTGTGTTAAAAGTGTTTACAATATTTATCAAATGGGTGGTTTTAAAAACACACACTTGCAAAAATCTAGATTTGCAGTGAACTTATTGAGCATGTTTATTTATTAGGTGATAATAATAATAATAATAGTAAGTAATTATTATAAACCCATATAGTTAATATTAATATTATTATAAACCAATGTTTCCGAATAGCTGCAAAATTTCTTTGACATGTCAGTATCCGACCTTTGATGATGCCGACAACAAGACGCCACGCACTATCAAAGTGCCGATGGTCAAAACTAGGGACGCACTCTTTTTTATTTTAATGGATGTTTTCATTCGTGTGAAAACATCGTATAATATGCCAATATGCCAGGATAGTCGATGATCCTATATTAATCCTAAGTATTTAGCTGACGTGACCTTCTTTAGCGATTTGAAATTACAAATTGAGTAATCTAGTTTATTGCATTCATGTAGTTTTAATGTAAAATCGTTTTTGGTTGAGTTCTTTTATTTATTGAGAAGCACATATAATTTGTTTTATTAATATTCAAAGTTCGAAGGTTCATTTTTAGCTAGTCAGAAATTTTAGAGACCACTTTGGGCCGTCTCGTATACCTTGTTCCACGAAGTTCCAGAAAACTACTATCGCAGTATCGTCGGCGTTAGAATAAATTTTACTACTTTTAATGCTTAGATTAGTGAGGTCACTTATATAGATTAGAAATAGAGTTGGGCACCCGGGTTTTTTTTTTCTCGTGGTTCCATTTTCACTCTTTGGTCGCTTGTAGTAATTGCTTAGCAATTTAAGCGGTACGCCTTGGACACCGACGCACTCTAGTTTATATATATATATATATATATATATATATATATATATATATATATATAATACGCATAAGTCCAATTTTCCAAAATTTATTTAATATAATTTTTTGCGTTTCATAGTGTTTATAAGCGTATACTCGAACTCCTATACTCCCTGAAACGACACTCAGGCCTAACTGCAAGACACAAGAGTCTCGCAGGCTTAGTCTTGTTCTTGTTCAAATCGGTCAGTCTTGGTCTTGGTCTTTCAAAAATGCAAGAACAAGACCAAGACTGCAAGACCAAGACCGATTTTGGGCATACACTAAAAGCAATACTTGTCGTTATAAATCGTAATATATATAGTTAAACGTGGCCTATGCATAAACGAAACTTTTTACCTTGCATGCGAATGGCGATGGTAATTCTAAATAGTAAAAAAGCGGTTACTCTACATGCAAATAAAAATGTTAACATGCTGCCCGAATATGAATATTACGAGTAAATAGATGCTTTATGCGTTTACACTTATTATGCAATTCATCTTAAGTATCGTATGTAATAGTAATGTTCTTGAATTTGATGTATTATCTCATTTTATGCCTCCTGTTTTGATCATAAGCTTTTTGAGGTTAATAGTGACGATTAATATTCATGATTAACATCCACAGTAGATAAATTAGCATCGTTGTTGGTCATCGACATAGCGTGTTGTTAAACTGGTTATTTCTTTTAGAGGTGTCGGAAAATATTTAAACAATAATTTACTGTATTTATGACGTCTTCAACTTCACGTGGCAATTAACTACTACGACTGATTTGCTTCACGAAAATTATTAGTTTATGTATTCATTTTAGTTATATGTAATATCATATAATAAATCCATCTTCCCTCTTCCATCTTAGGTGACAACGTATCTACGTTTTATTTTTAATCGAGGATAAATGTAGATGTCTATGGGCCACAGCATCCACTTACCATCAGGTGGACTATAGCTCGTTATTATTCCATAAAAAAAACCTCAAACATATTGTTTTTAAGTGCCATTTGGCAGCGGCGGAAATAAATCCATCACCCCGATTCGTCCCGTGAGGGTCGTAAAAGCATACTTTTGGATATTACAGAAAAATTTTACGCCTTTCCTATAGATGACGGTATAATCATCTCGTTTACACTTATCAATAAAGCCCTTCCTTTAGATGGCGGTATAATTATCACAAAATATCCAGATTGGTGACGTGCATCATTCGCCTGTTATTGCGATTTTTCCTTTACTACTATCTGCGCTTGACTACTAACGTCAATTCGAGGTTAAATTTAACGAAGGCAAATCGTCACTGCAATGCAAGGGACGCATGTCCAGCAGCGGACTTTTAGAGGCTTAAGAAAAATTAGGTGTTTTTAAAAACGGATAGCGAATCTGAACTTAATTTTACCTATACACTGTTTAGATGATTTTATATTCCATCACACAAAAAAGGCTACACGGTATATACGAAACGGAATGAAATTTGACATCCAATTCCAAATAGATCATGGCTAGAATGACTCCCAAAAAACGCAAGAAAAAAAATTGTTTCTTTATGGCGAAGTCGGCAAAATCTAGTACAAATGAATACCAAACTCTTATCACCAAAGAAAACAAATCATACACCGTAACATCTTGATTTCAATAAAGATTACACCAAAATAGCATCCATTGCAAAAATATTAATTATTAGTAGATAGGATTCGTTTTGTGTCTGGAACTCTTTCTGGGCGGGTACCGCCCTCTGATCCATTTTTTCCATCAAATGGAGAGCCACACGTTCAGCATATAAGTTGACAAACGGAACAGAGACAAGCTTCTTAAGAATGGGCAAAATTGTTACCTATTTTGGTAGGGCTGTCACTATATGTGAAAAAAAATTAAACAAAATATATTGTTAAATAGTTTTATTATACAATATGTTAGAATAGTTTAAAAATTACTTATTCTAATAATTTTCTTTTTATAATTTTTGTTTTTTTTTTTATAATTTATTGTTTCT